AATAAACGTTTTTTTTTATATAAAAACCGCTTTCGCATATTTAATTTATATATATATATATATACTTTATAAGGAATGCCACGACTCCTTCTGCCTGTTACACACTTTTCAGCAAAACCAATCTATCTAGATATCGAATTACAATGGGTTCAGAGTATTCAAATTAGGCATAGTGCGAATATCTTAAAAAGTCTACCATTTTGGTCGAGCGCAAATGATTTCGCCTCCCCATAGTTTCTTAGCCCGTATATAAAATTTACATTGTAAATGTAATGGATCCAAGCAAATACCAAATTGTCCAGTAGTTAACAGTCAAATTTTAGTGTGAACACAATTTTATTCTAGATGTTCAGTCGGTCTGTTATATATACAGTTGTTATCAGTAGCTTACCTGTATGGAAGTTCACACAGATTATTTTGTGAGTGAGAGTGCGGCACCTTAGAACTAGCCGTCTTGTTATCAGCAATGACTGCTAGCTCAAGTGCCGAGCCAGTAAGACTGCGTTCGCTACCACGTCGTCGCGCTAGATTACCAGAAGGCGCAGTTGTAACAGTGCAAGTACCACAAGCTGTACTGCCTGTCGTGGTGTTCTTAATCACGTCGCCTAAATTTGGTTGATTTGAAAGAGCGGCAGTCATTTTCTTCTTAGCTCCGCTTACGGCACCAAAATTAAAGAAACGTTTTTTATGCGAAGGCTGGATACCACTATCAATAAGTCGTTTGTAGTGATCGGAACGTATAAAACGGGGATAACAATCTTTTTTCAACAGAAGCATGTAAATATGTTCTGAAGCGGAGTCAAAGGTGAAACGCGATGGATTCTTAAGACCACGTAATACACTTTCCATAGTTTTTCCATCGATATTAATTTCACAAGGCGCTCCAGGTTTAAGAAACTCTCTGAAACCAAAAATTCAGCATGATTACCCGTCCATTAATGCAAACAATTTTCTTACTCAAATATTTCGTTAACTGTGCGAGCCACTTGCGAGTGAGCAGTTCGACGGAGACGATTTACTGCAGTCCAGAAACGTATGTTTTCGTGAGAGTATTCTTTTTCTAAAAATATTGTAAACTCCTGCAACCCTGTGGGATCAGAAACCAGTTCCTCTATAGAAATAGCCCAACGCTTTACACGCTTTTCAGTAGGTATGTCGACAAAAGTACTGTTCAGCTGCCAAAAAGTAATATCATCAGTAACCCAAGGATTAGAGGGAAGCGGAGGCTGTAGAAAAAAATCGTATTCGCTGAATGTCTCCGAATAGCAAACAAGAGATTCACAGGCTTGAGACATTTTCATTCGTGTTCCACTTAAGGTTTTGCTCAGAAATTCCACTTCACGTTGTATATCATCGACAGTCTTTTTTTTGCTAGGTTTCTGGCCTTGACGATCTCGTGATGGGATAGGGCACGGCTCAAGGGGAGTAAATTGACCGGGTGGTGGACGATGTACACGCCAATAAGCACGTTCCTGTGAGTCGCCTACAATTTTATCACCTTTCTTACGCTCCTTTGCAAGCCGTACTTGCTCCTCGGCCTGCATTGCAATAAAGTCCCACTTGCCTTTAAGGTTTTTATGAAGTGAAGCGAAAGCTTCGGCTTCGTAATCTTCTAATGCATGGCGCTGCTTATTACGAAGCGAACGTTTTGCCAAATAAATAGCATACTCCACATTGTCCGGTGCTTTGTGCTGCCATGGCCAATAATAAGGAGTTTGGAAGCGATAAAGAGATGAGTCGTCTTTAACAGTCAAAGACTTGGAATCACTGACAGGGAAAAAGTATCCATGTAGGCACAGCTGATTGGCAATGTTTAATGCTTCCGACTCCTCTATTTGTAAATGATCCATTAGCCACTCAATCAAATCATAACCTGTGCGATCAAAAAATGTCGTTATTTATAGTTTTAAAAATTTTGTGTTAAGTGTCGGACTTACCCATAAAAGCATATGGAATAGATGTAAGAAACATCTTTTGTTGACGCACTGGCACACCATGCTCTTGATCCTGCATTTCTCGCACCAGAGCTTCCATCTATTAAAGCAAAAATTTTTAATAATTTGGTTAAATGACAAAATTGTACAGGAACAGATTGTAAGCAAACAAGTAAATACGTTGCATTTGAGCGATTCCGACTACAGAATGCTTATGCACAGCCCAAATACAGTCAGCAACAGATCAGCTTGATTACATGTGCACACAGTCATCGTGTATTCTATGCCTACAGACAAAGCCGCGCCTTTTAGCATACTGTTAGAATTTCGATTAATTTTTTAATTTTCTAATTATACCCTGAACCCATTGAAAACGGGAAATCAGGGGATAATGGTTTTGTTGAAATGTATGTAACAGGCACAAGCAGGCGTGGCAGACCCCACATAGCATATATATTCTTGATCAGGGCGACGAGCTGAGTCGTGTTCAGTCAGTTCTTCAGGAAAGCTGCAACAATGTTTAATGCCAATTATGCCAAACTCCACAATACGTT